GATCATTATATGAAATCTGCCCCGCTTTAAGGGACCCCCAATAATTAATCATAATTGAGTGTAACGTAACATGATCGCGAAGATCCAAAACAAACCTACCGTATTTTATTATAAAAATTTTTTTGGGTACATTTTTTGACTTTTTTTTAGGGTTAGGGGTCAGCTTTATGAGTACAAGTGGGTTTGAGTAGATTCCCAAAATTTTCAACTTCTGCCAATTTCAGCATCATCCCCAACAATTATTATGATATTTACGATATTCTTTATTTCTTTATATACATTCTATTATTTGTTTTATAAACTTTTACTACTATCGTTATCATAATTGATATTTTTTATTTCTACGTATCGGTATGTGTAAAAGGTTTTCTGATAAAACATGTGATTAAATGAATGCTGCATGCACAAAAAATTTTTGGGGGAGCACAAATTTTTTTAACAGTAAAAGATGGTGTAACGTAAAAAAAATGTTACTGTACTTGTAAAATTTTAAATCTTCCATCAGCTTTAATTTCATCATGCAAAAATGGCAAAAATGGCTTCGCCTAACAACTATACCCGCGCCTATTGACTCTGCAGAGTTACATCAATGGCGGTTCAAGTTATATGTCACAACAAAATGTATAGAATCTGCGATAGCTATTTATATACAAGGGCTATCCAAAGGAGTACAGTTCTCGCGGAATTTTCATGTGGACGTGCGCAGGGTTATTAAGAAAACTCGTAATCCGTACTTGATTCTTAAATTCTATAATGATTTATTTTTTGCCAAGATAGCTGAAAATTCTGACGACGTAGCTGCCGCAAAAATAGATAACGCATTAAAAAGAATTCCAGCATATAAGGTTGGCATAGCTTATTGTGAATTAACGAGAAAGGTAAAAGTACACAAGTTGATCTTTCGTGAAGTTATAGATAAATTGGCTTCTGAACACAGCTTAGTGCAACATGCGCTAAAATGTTATAATGACATGATATCTAAGGGTTACTATCTAGATGTATGGACTTATAATAGACTGATAGATAGTGTCTGCAAATCCGATGATTTAGGTACCGCATGGAAGATAATAGAAGATATGATCCGCGTTGGTGTGCATCCTGATATTGTTACTTTTAACATCTTGTTAAACCGTCAAATATCGCGCAAAGATTGGAGTCAAGCAGTTAGAATTCTTGATATGATTCACGAAGCTGGGTTACATCCATCGGAAAGCACTTTGAATACTTTAACACGAAATAAACTACTCGAAAAATTAAATACTAAAGAAGCACATGAATATGCAACAACCGTATTGAAAAGGATGTCCCTTTTTAATCGTTTGGAATGGTTCTCAGTTCTTGGAAGTACTACAAAGCTAATACAGATTTATCAAGAAATAATTACAAGTGGACAAAGTCAATACATTCATACGTTTGAAGTAATCATACGAAACTTATTTACAGGGCAAAATAGTGACAAAGTCAAGCAGCTCTACGATGAAATGTGCAAATTAGGAACAGAGCCAACCTTGGCTTTGTACAACATTTTGATTGGAGGATTTGTAAAATTAGAGGACATGGATAGTGCACAGTGCTTATACCGTGATATGTCTTTAAGGTCAATAACCGGTGACGTTAATACATATAATCTTTTAATTTGGGGTCACTCTCAAAAAATAAATCTAAAGGAAATTATTTTCTTGCTCGATGATATGCTCTTATTTAAAATTCGACCAAATATATACACAATATCTATTGTGCTGAATCTGTATATTAGACTAAATGATATACGAAGAGCACGTCAGCTCTTTGAAATGCTTCTTGAAACAAAGGATCAAAAACCTAATCTTTATATCTTTAATAGTTTGATCTCCGGTTATGCGAATGTTGCCAAAGATATGGTTGAGGCCAAACGACTTTTACTTCATCATCCCATCACA